GTGTGTGTGTGTGTGTGTGTGTGTGTGTGTGTGTGTGTGTGTGTGGAGACAGGAGCAGGATGTGTTAAACCGGCACAGGAAGCTATAAATCAGTACTGTTTCCGGCAGGCTTTCAGATTAAGAGCACTCTGGGAAATAAAAGTTTTGTCGTAACGATTCAAACTTTTAAAATAGAACAACTGCAGTATAGCTCACAATGAAGCTGTTTAAATTAGTTAATAAAGTAAATAAGGAAACAAACGAGAATAAATTACTGTCACATACAAAATTGTGCTTATTAAAACGTTTTAGGGTAATGCCCGACTCAGGACATCTACTCTCTTTTTTTTAGAGAAAGGTTTCAAAACTTTTGTACAGGGGCCATTTTGTATGGAAACTTATTTTTTCATCTCAAGAGGACACAATCCAAAGGAAGACCAAAGGAGGCAGGTGAACCAGCAGTGGCTGACTGGGCCTAATATATGAAGCACCAAAGTGGAGCGATTTTCGTCCAGCTTTTGTCCACTTTGGCACTTCATACTAATAAAGTAAAGCCGAAGTCAGAGGGGTGGCTGGGGGGCCACTTTCCACCTTGGGAACCAAGTACAGTATTCTGCAGACAAAGTACACACACACCTGATTGGATGACAGAAAAAGGGGGCGGTACCCAAGGGATATATATACACCTGATTGGAGGATCCTTGCTTAGCCGTTTCTTCATATTAGTTTTCTAGGATCTGACTTTCATTAATTTATTTAGTTTCATGAACTTGCTGTTGTTACTGAGGTCATCAGAAGACAGGACTAATAACAGCCAGCAGATTATGTTAACCAGCTGTTATTTTATGTTTTATATGAAGACACCGCAGTGTCAGACTCGTCGTCTTCATTCATTATTTCTGCTTCTCTTAACAAAGAAATCCACGTTATACATTTCAAAATAAGAGCAACTTCAGTCTGTAGCAGATTCTTTTTTAGAAATAGGGAGAACTAAATGGTTGTTTTTAATGATACATTAAAGATTAATAAAAATGTTTTTGACTGGTAAAATTAATGTGAAAGTAGTTAAAGAAAAGGAAAGAGAAGAACCAACCTTTTCGAAAAACAGAGCAAATACAACTCAAATCAGTGTTTTTTTTGCTTGAGAAACGCCCACTTTGAGTCTGCAGAGAACCACTTCTCCCTGAAACTTGACTGGCCACCCCTTTCATAAAAGTCAAGTTTTGAAATGAACAAAGTTGCTTTAGATGTGCTGGTTTAAATTCTTAGTCATGTAGGACATTGTAAAAAGTTGAAAAAAAAAACATCTGAACTTCTTTTGTGTATTGATATTAAGCCACCCAACTGTGAAGCTTTCTAAATTTTAATCTGGATTTGGATTCTAAATGTTTAAACTGTATATAAAACTCACCTAATTTTTGGATTGGTCAAATGTATGAAGGTGTGAATGGCACAAACCATGACGAGGTTTGCCCAAAACAGCTTTAACTCTTTCATTTCTTAGGATGAGCTGATTTGTTTAAAACTGTTAGACAATATAGTTCTGTTTTCGTTATTTCAAGTATTCGATCTGTCTCCTGTCTTGTCTCAGTTTGCCCGATGAAGGTTTGACACTCTGAAGATATTGCAAAGACAAGGTTTTTCCACAAACAGTTGTGCAGGGGCTCCTTTTACATTGTTCTCCATCAAGTTACAAACAGCACACTGCAGCTCTTTCCTCTTGTCCAAATATGGTTGTCAGCAATCTAACATTTAGATCAAATGTAGTACACTCTCTTGTAATTTGTTAATTTACTATGATATAAATAAACCCTGGGAGGGACTTGCGACCTGTCCAGGGTGTATCCCGCCCTTTGCACAGTGACTGCTGAATATGGGCACCAGTGACCCCCGTGACCCTAAAAGGAAGAAGAAGATGGATGGATGGATGGATGGATGGATGGATGGATGGATGGATGGATGGATGGATGATGGATGAGGTTGTACCTTTGCCAAATCATGCTTTTGCAGTTTGTGTCAATTAAAATCTATATTTTTAGATACAAAATGAACTTCACACTCAATTCATGCTTTTGCCATCGTCTATTGTTATTGCTGCATGGGTACAAACTGACCAGCACTTAAGAATTAAATCCCATTGATTATGCATTTTAGTTCTGCTGAACATAAGCACTAAGGTTGCCTCTGTCATAAGGATTTAGATTAAGTGTTAATACAGTCCCTCAAAATTTTTTTGGTCTGATTTCAAAAGCCATCAACACAGTAATGAAGACAGAATGAGATGGTGCATTGGTTTTTCAAGCCTCACAGAGAAGTTATCTTTATTCCACTTCTCTTCTGCTAATTCTGACCTTGGAAAGTTTCAGACCAGATTATCTCTGCATAAACCATCAGCAGCATGCTGAGAAGAGGGGCTGAAAACACTTCTGTTGTGCCGTGCAAGTCAGATTTTCTTCCTTTCCTGTCAAAGATATGTCCAGATCTGAAAGGTTAGCTCTTTTAGGTTTTATAAATCCATAAGAATCATGTTTTTGCAAGAGAAAATTTCAAATCCCTCTGTTAAAAATCAACTACAGCAAGAGGTTTCATCTCAATTTTTGTCTGCAATAAATCAAAATCTGGACTTCATCGGTCATCAGCCGTGTTAGAAGGAGCTGCAGTCAGAGTGTATAACATCCTGTTGTGGCTGTGTGAGGAGGACACCTTGTATGGACATTTTTGCTTCAGGTTTTCCTGACAGTGAGTCAGCACTTCAGTGTGGAGCAGCTTCTCCACAGCTGTGCTGCCCTCTAGCGGTCAGACTGCATCCAAAGAGTCGGATCCACCACAAGCACACAGATGATGTCATAGTTTGGATTTTTTTTTTTTTTAGGTGGGTTCCTAAAGAAAAGTTGTGAACAGTTAATATCTTACCTGTTGCAGATAGATCTCTGACAGATCTCTGCTCGACTCAGTTCCCCTTTTGTCACATGTAGATTTGGGGGTGCCTCAGGCAAGTTTTGGAGGGGTTGTGGGAGATCATTCTTATTGTGGAATTGTCCAAAATGATTAAACTACTGGAAAGATACACAAGGTGAAGACATGTTTGGGCATTGTAGTCATGGTCTGTGTCTAATAGTGTATTTTCTGTTCATAGTTTGCAGTTACCCTCCTAGTGTTTCATGTGAAGCACAGTGTTTTCCACTCTGTGTTTTCTGTCAGTCTTTGCTTTAGCCCTGCCCTCACCTGTTCCTCATGGTTCTCCTCCAGGTGTTCCTCATTAGTTTGTCTTTATATTCATTCTGCTGTCCTCTTTGTCGAAACAGTATGCTGTTTTCCCTTAAGCCTGTGTGGATGTTCCTTGTGCTCTTTGTTGTGATGGTGTAAGGGTTTTGCTGCCACGTCAGCACTTTTCTTTGTAAATAAATACTTCAGTATTCAATCTCTGACATCGCCTGTTCCCTGGGTCGATCTGCCAGCCAGCATCTCACAGGACCATGTTTAATTATGCTAGGAAATTTTATTCTGGACGAATAAATACCAGGTTTTTTTTCTTTTAAAGGTACACACACAGTTTCTCAATTGGAAGGAAAAAGGTAAAAAAAAAAGTATTATATGGAGCAAATTATAGCTAAATTGAAGATGAGACACATTCATGGTCTATTTGATTAATGTGCTAAAACGTTTTGTGTGTGTTTCTTAACTATAGGTCTGTTTTTGTTTAGATACTGGTTTGATATACCCTGGCATATTATTTATATTTTGGACTAACAAAGCTTTATAGGTAGGACAGTAGGCTGTATCTGTTGTTTATGTTGCTGATGTAATTGTATCTGTTTACTTG